ATAGTTGCTTGCTTCCCAGGCAATTTCAGAAATAAAAAAAAAAATTAAACTTAGTATATATGCTATTTATATTATGCTTTCAGATAAGTTTTCAATTAATATATATAGTATATATGCTATATATAGTATGCTTTTAAATGAGCTTACATACAAGAAACATTTATTTAAATAAAATAAAGAAGAAATCTGTGGAAAAAAATAAATCAAAAAAAAATTTTGTGGACAAAAGTAAAACGCGCGGATTTCACTATAATTGACTTCAATTGTACTAATTTGACTTCAATTGTAATTGTACTAATTCGAGTTCGATTTCACTATAATTGACTTCAATTGTACTAATTCGAGTTCAATTGTACTAATTCGAGTTCGATTTCACTAATTCGAGTTCGATTTCACTATAATTGACTTCAATTGTACTAATTTGACTACAATTGTACTAATTCAAGTTCGATTTCACTAATTCGAGCTCGATTTTACTATAATTGACTTCAATTGTATTAATTCGAGTTCAATTTCACTAATTCGAGTTCGATTTCACTATAATTGACTTCAATTGTACTAATTTGACTACAATTGTACTAATTCAAGTTCGATTTCACTAATTCGAGTTCGATTTCACTATAATTGACTTCAATTGTACTAATTCGAGTTCGATTTCACTATAATTGACTTCAATTGTACTAATTCGAGTTCAATTGTACTAATTCGAGTTCGATTTCACTATAATTGACTTCAATTGTACCATTTCGAGTTCAATTGTACTAATTCGAGTTCGATTTCACTAATTCGAGTTCGATTTCACTATAATTGACTTCAATTGTACTAATTCGAGTTCAATTTCACTATAATTGACTTCAATTGTACTAATTTGACTTTAATTGTACTAATTCAAGTTCGATTTCACTAATTCAAGTTCTATTTCACTAAAATTCACTATATTTGACTTCAATTGTACTAATTTGAGTTCGATTTCAAAATCATCCAAATACATTATATAAATCATTCAAATACAAAATATACATCTCAACAATCCGATTCATTCAAAATACATATAAAAAAATCTAGTTTCCCCAATCATCACGGAGTCTAGTTCAATCGGTGGGAGGATGCGAATACGGACAATGGTCCGCGAAATGTTGGGGATCACCACATCTACTGCATTGATCCCGGGCCCTTCTGCGGCGCGCCCGACGATCCATTTGCATTTTAAAGCATCTCGTTTGGGCGCGACCGGGTCCAGGCTTCGAGATGATCCTTTCCCAATGCGGAATCAAATTCCATCCCACCTGCGGCCACGTGTCAGGATTTCCAATTGGAGCAAAATTCCAACTGAAAAATTGAGCAACCCAGTTCTCCGTCCAAAAGTGGGAATCGTACAACAAGTGCGGTTGATCACCCCGGTGACGACACACGGCCAATGCATGAGAGCATGGTTTCTGAAATGTCTGCCACTTCTTACATGTACAACGATGCTGCTGATAATTAACTGCAAACCTGTTTTCAACAATGATTTATATATATAAATAAAAAAAAAAACTCATTTGAATGGAAAAAAAAATTCAATTAAGAAATACATACTTGTTTTGCCATCTTCCACTGGCGCGTAGACCGGTTGTCACCCTGTACTGGGATCCGTCGGCGTCCACACATCGCACCTCGTGAGTCGCCGCCGTCCTATCCAACACCAGATAGGCGGCATAGAGGTCGGTAGGAATGTGACTCCTGCATCCTCTGGACTTGTTTTGTTCCTGTTCAAACAAATCCAGAGTCTTGTTCATTGTGGCATGTACCAACGCTCTGCAGGGCAGAAACCTAACACCTTTGAGGACGTTGTTGTAATTCTCTGACATATTAGTTGTCAGAGTGCCCCATCGACGTCCTCTATCTCCGTACAGTGTCCACTTTTCCAAAGGAATTTGGAAAAGATAATTGTATGCTTCCGGGTTACATTCAAGGAGTTCCTGTCGACTATGCTCAAATTTGCGGCGAGAACACAGTGAACCCAACCTCCAGCACAAACCCCGGATTTTCTTAGTCCTGTACCTTGAAAACATATTGCTCCAGAGGTGTCGAAGGCATATCCGATGAAACGCATGGGGTTCGTGCCAAGTCTCCAGTAAGTCAACGACACTCAATATGCCGTTGTCCCTGTCGGAAAGAAGACATATCGGTCTGTCGGGGACAACATGATGGCGCAGATGTGTTAGGAAAAAGGATCAGCTAGCCGTGCTTTCTTCGTCCACAATCGCATACGCGACTAGCAATAGACGCTTATTCGCGGTCTGTGCTATGGCAACAAGCAGCTTCCCCTTGTACGAACCTGCTCAGTTGGACATATGTTTTTTTAATCAGACACTATTGTAAATTAGAAAATAAAAAATTAATTTGCAAGTAACAAGTAGATTTCCCTTGTACAAACCTCGCAGGTGCGTGCCGTCGATGCTAATAATCGGCGGGCAAAGAAGGAAGGTTTGAATGGCGGGGCCGAATGCCCAGAAGACAAATCTGAATTCTCTGTCTCGAGATTGCTTCGCCATTTCCCCACCCTGCCATTCCCACTCAACGACTGTACCGGGATTCGCCATTTGAAGGGCAGCGAAAAACCTGCAAATTATAAAAGGTAACCATAAATAAATCAATAAATATAGTTACAAACAACACGTAAATACATTTATAATTAATTTTTGCTTACTGGGGGAGTTGTGCGAAGTTCGATTCCCACGTGCCATACAGACGATCGGTGGCTTTTTTTCTCCCGTGCCACGCCTTCTTGTAGCTGACATCGACGCTCCAGGCACTTTTTACGTCGGCCTGGACCATTTCCGCACTGTAGGTCACCTGCTTCTGAATCTTAGCTAACAGAAGATTTGAGATCATGGTGGCGGTCACATTCTTGTGGTCATTTCTCTCGAACACCTGCATGCAAGTGTGGCTATCGGTCCATTCGGTTACCTCCCACATGTCGTGATCCCGTTTCTTAAGACTCACCCGAGCCTTCCATATACATGGTACAACTTCATCTGATCTACACACAACTTTGAACGACTTCTTGTTGGAATCTTTTGTCCGGACCGCCCTAAGCTTCTCAACATTCCACGCCATAATACCAGTCCGGGCTTCTTCCTTGGTACGAAAAACTGTACCCAAACGGATAGTCTCGACATGCCCATTCCAGACTGGCAAGGCATACTCGTCCCTGTTTACACACGACGAGTCCCACTCACCCATCTCGCGATATACGTTGAGGCCTTCATTTGGAAAGGGGTGTTCTTCAATGAATTCTTGTTCGCTCTCCTCATTAATTGATCTGTCCGATTTGGTTTTCGAGGTCTCATCAGTGAAATCGTCTTCCCCGGGACTGAAATCTTCATCTCCAACAATTTCTTCCTCAATGTTCGGTCCTCTCATGGTAAAGCTCTTCCCTTCGCCGAAATTACTCGTCCCTTCACCAAAATTACCGGCATGCGTAGTCCACGTACCCTCACCACCAAACATTCCCTCGTAACCATATGATGGTGTAGGATCCTCAACCTGTGTAACCTGGGTGTTTGCTTCCAACACTATATACAAAAACACATAGGACATAGGAGGAAAGTAGAAAATCCACGAAAGAGAATTATCATTATTCAGTCTTCCAGGAATAAACGAACCATTCGGTTGCCTGGCCATCAAAGTAATATCCGAAATTGTCCAACTATCACGAAACCCACCATTTTCGTAAATCATATCTACCAATTGTTCATATGATATTATTCCATTAATAACAAATGAACAATCCGGACGAGACATATAATTCGAAAAATTCCATAACTCACTTTGTGGAATTTTCCAGTACACATTAACAAAGTAAGGACCGTTAGACGCCATTTATAACCTGTTGCACAAAAAAAAAATTCTATTTTACAAATTACAACAACACATAATTAATCATATTTTTACTCCAACAAAAAAAAAATTGTCAATTAATTTATCAAAAACACCACCAAAACCCTAATCACCATAATTTATCAAAAAACACCACCAAAACCCTAATCACCATAATCCAACAATAACATCAAATTCATAAACAATTCTGATAAATATTCAACATACATTAAATCAATATTCAAGATTTTCTAAATAATAGCAAATAACAAATTATAACAATTTAACACAACTATTAAACCAACATTCAAGATTTTATAAACAATATTGAATTAACCAAATATATATCTTAAACATTCATAAACAACAAAAAAATAATATTACATTACATTAAAATAAAATTTAACCTCTTCTCCGATGATTGGTTGAATTTTTTTTTTTTTGAATGGAGCTTCAATTCACCGAAAATCGAACAAAAGACACAAAATTATGTTTATGAAACAAACAATAAAACGCGCAGTGGTCTGGGGAGGAATTTGCTGTTGGTTATATCAACCAAAACACGGATTTTGAAAATCCGTTTTATTCGTTTTTTTTTATTAAACACGGATTTTGGAAATCCGTGTTCATCGTTTTTTTTTCCTGAACACGGATTTTCAAAATCCGTGTTATAAATTAGAACCGTTATTATTATTAAATTCGACCGTTAAAAAAAAAAATACGATCCGTGTTTCTAATAAAAATCCGCTCGTTTGATTGATTTCTACCACNATAAATAGGTAACATGATGTTTATCTTTATTATTAAATACGAAGTGCCATAATACGGTTGAAATAAGGAGATTCAAATTTAATTCAAGCGTAAAGTAATATACGTTACATTCATCATAACATTTTCAGTATGTAGGCATCACTATAATAAGATAATGTTTGAAAATAAGGAGATTCCAATGTGTAATTGTCAAATAAGTATATATTCTCATTTTCAGACGCAACTGTAACAACCTCACGTTTGTACGTGTTTGAACGGTTCACATCCGTTTGATAAGATATTTTATCATTTTTAATAAATATTAATTTAATTTTTTAAATATAAATAAATATTTTAACAAAATAGTAATCAAAGAAGCATCGTACTGACCGGATCACCGACATTCAATATTACCACGAACACCGACCGGTAGAGTATGATATTTTGAACATTGATTTTTATAAGCTTTCGTTTGATTTAAAGTGTTGATGGCTGATTCACCAACAACACTATGACAGGGTAGTTAAACAGAAATATAAGAACACGACAAAGATAGAATTGAATGCTTGCGTTACACTTGCACTTTTACAAACCTTTTTTTTTATAAACCAACTTTGAAAGGGTGGGGGGTTAAGGACAGACCCTCAATCTGTATATAAAAAGGACGAATTGGGCTGAATAGTCACATGTCTACAAATTCAATGTCCAAGATACAACAAGCTAAATAACTAAACACAAACAAGAAACATAAAAAGAAACAACAACAATAAGTCACACAAAAAGGTCATGTCCTGGTCCAAGAAGAGTCCAAGGGAAGGGTCGACTTCACAGGAGAATGGCAGCACCAAAAAGGTAGGGCTGACTACCCAAATCTGAACAATGGGCATCTCATCTGGTTCATCCGTATAAGGGTACGGAGGCAGAGAAGAGTGTCGTCAGGATGAAGAATGAGCCTCTAGAGGGTGGAGGTCCTGATGCAAGCGAGGAAGTCAGCAGGTCGGTTCCCCTCGCGGAAGATGTGCGAGATCTGATAGCAAATCGACCGAAGTGTGACTCTCATACGCATGAGCGGATGCTGAATCTGCCACGTGCCCTGATGGCCAGAGGTCAAAAGTGTGATGACAGCGGCAACGTCCAACTCAATCCAAATGTGAGAGGAGATCGAGGCAGCAATCTAAAGACCGATCTTAAGTGCTTGAACATCCGCGTCATAGCTCGAGGAGGCCCGAAGAAGGGTATGGAAAGCGGTAATAAGAACATCACTGTGGTCTCTACCTTTGGCGGCTCCAGTAAGTCGGTCAAAGGATCCGTCAATGTTTAGCTTAACCCAAGGTGGCTCGGGTCCCAGCCAAACAACAGCTCTGGGATGTGGACTCTCGGTGTGAGTCTGCCCAAAGCGGTGAGGAGAGAGAGATGCCGGTCAACCTGCAAGATGATATGGGAAATCAAAAAAGAAATATCCCTATGTTTCGCATTATTTCTTTCTCTCCAGATGGACCAAAGGATCAGACAATGAATAAGAATGCCCACATACCTATCGTGTGTGCTCTGTTTGAAATAACTCAAAAGCTCAAAGAAATTATCTGTAAAGGGTAAGGGTATATGGCTGTACCTGGAATAATGCTCTCACACTCTCCTCACAGTCTCGCTCTCAAGAAACAAAAGGGTGAATGTCTTAGTCTGAAAGTCATCTGCATCACAGTGTCAATCGGTAGGTGGCACAAAAGAAGGAGCCATAGAAAGACAGAGATGGTTGGGGTAAGTAGGTCGGTCAGATGGTCCTGAAGAGAAGGTTAGGCCGGCGACCCAGCAGTACTTCCCCCCAAGCCGAGGTCGTAGAGAATGCACTCGAAGATGTAAGTCTCCACTTCATACCGTCCAAACTGTCCTCCGAGATGGAAATCTGTTGGATCTGATCTATCACCTGGCCACTAAAGCCTGCTCCAGTACCCAGCATCCTCTCCAGCCTATACCTATCCCAAACCCCCTCTATCCACAGAGATGGTCGGGGCAAGTAGGTCGGTCAGATAGCCCCGAAGAGAAGGTTAGGCCGGCGACCTAGTGTTGGGTTCGATAGTACAGTACGGGCTGTACGCAGCGGAATTTAAAATTTTTAAAGTAAGTATTTATCGTATAAATACAACACCCGTACATACTAATTGCGAATTAACTGATCGTCATCTTTAAAACATGCATCATATACAAATTTTGATTTGTTACTATAAAGTAAATACTAGTAAAAATATTTACCGAATTTCTTGAACTCCTTCACTATTGATGATGGATGAGGGAATCGGTTCCCGGTTGTAACTTCAACGACTTGAGGTTACTCGCTAGAGGAATCCAAGTGTCTTCCCTCTAAACGTATCCACCCTATGAAGCCCGGTTCCGACGACTTTCCTTCGCTAGTAGAAAAGACTCGGTTTTCTTGTATAGGAATATTTATGAATTTTATTTGGGAATTTTAAGAACTCTTTCTTGAAGTTTTATGAAGAACACTTTCTTCTCTTTCTAACACTTAGAAATTTAGGATCAAAAACTTCACTTAAATGCAAAACCATTTTGCATATATTTATACTAAACATTTTAGCATAAAATAATCAACATTTAGTAATATTAAATAAAATCAAATTTTATTTAAATAGTATTTACTAACTTTTGACTTTGAAAATAATAAGATATGTTAAGTAGTTCAAACAACCATCAACAACCATTTTATTATAATCATATTTATTATTTTAATCCTTAAATCATATTTAAAGATATAAATAATAATTGGATAATAAATCTTGAGAATCTTTCTCAAGACTTTATTATTATATCATTTTCCCAATATTATAATAATCATATTATTATTATTTTGGATTTTTGAAATTTAAAATCCTATTTTAAAATTCAACTTTATTAATTTAGTAATTACCTTAATTACTAAAGTAATATCCAAAATGTAATTAATCAATCTTATTGATTAATATATTCCTTTAATTGATATCTAATCAAATTAGATATTTATCAATTAATTCTAACCATTAGAAATACAATCTTTACCTTTGTTCATAATTAGTGTGACCTTTTAGGTTCACCTTAATACTAGTAGTGGGTTTACAACACTTTGTAATTTGAGTTAAATCTTATTAACTCTTATTCATGAATTAACCCTTTAATTTATGAACCCACATATCATGGTAACACCTAGCAAGTAGCATGAATCTAGTATTAAGTGAATAGCGAGTAAACCTATTCCGATTACAACTCCATACATGTAAAATCCTTTCGACATCTAATTTCCCGATTAAGTCTTGGGTATGATTTTGTCGAAACCCAAATTGACTTAATAACTATGATTCTATTTCATGTTTATTAACCCGGTTATGAATCACTATTCATCTCTGCCTTGGCCAAGGACTTTGGATTAATAACTATGAAACACATAGGAAATTCACTTATCTTCATAAGTGTCGAATCCTTTATTGGCCACTAACAAACTTCCATACATATTAACATAATACCCAACTTATCCCTTTAAACGATAGTGCTAGCTACCAAAAGGATAAATCAAAGTAGAATGTAATATGCACAAAGTTACCATTGTGCCTCAAGTCTTAGGATTAGTCATGTACTATTGTAACATGAAAATTCTTATTCGACTGAATAAATTCTTCATTAAGAATTTTCATACGGTCATGTTCAGTGAACTTGTTCTCTAACAAGCACCCACATAAATGTACTTACGTCTTACGCTAATGTTGATGGAATGCAACATTCTTGTCCAACAAGCATACAAACTATGTGCAAGTCTTTTATGGATTATTCGATATCCCATCTCGAAACATCCATCGACTTGGAACTGTATTTAAGATCACGGCTTTCAAGGTATGTTCCATGATCACCATCTCTATGCGCAACCATACCTTATAACCATAAGTGATCTAGGGATTTTATCTTAAGTGCAATTATAAGATAAATGCTTTCTCTTAAGATAAAGAAATGCCTTATTCATAATATAATTCCAATAGACTGTATTTACAAGTAGAATACGTCCAATTAGATTGGAACGCCGGGTACCCTACTCTAACAATCTCCCACTTGCCCTAGTTCCAATCACTCATGTATCTAAGACCCATCTTCTCAAGATGTCCTTCGAACACTTTCTGTGATAAGGGTTTAGTTAAGGGGTCTGCTATATTTTCTGCTGAGTCGACTCGCTCCATCACGACATCGCCTCTACCAATGATTTCTCTAATCAAATGGTATCGCCTCATAATGTGTTTGGATTTTTGATGAGATCTTGGCTCCTTTGCTTGCGCAATAGCCCCATTGTTATCACAATAAATCATTATTGGATCAACAACGGATGGTACTACACCCAACCCTTGGATAAAGTTCCTTATCCAAACAGCTTCTTTTGCAGCATCAGATGCAGCAATATATTCAGCCTCTGTCGTAGAGTCAGCAATTGTTTCTTGTTTGGAACTTTTCCAACTAACTGCTGCTCCATTCAGAGTAAATAAGTATCCAGACATGGATTTATAGTCGTCTTTATCGGACTGAAAACCAGAATCAGTAAAGCCTTCTAGTTTCAGTTCTCCATTGCCGTATACCATAAAGATATCCTTAGTCCTTCGTAAGTACTTAAGAATCATCTTAACGGCTTTCCAGTGTTCTTCACCTGGATTAGACTGATATCTGCTCGTTACACTAAGTGCATGAGCCACATCAGGTCTTGTACATAACATTGCATACATAATGCTACCAATAGCTGATGCATAAGGTATATGACTCATCCGTTCTCTTTCTTCAGGTGTCTTTGGAGACATCGTCTTAGAAAGAGAAATCCCATGACTCATTGGAATATATCCTCGTTTGGATTCTTCCATGCTAAACCGTTGTAGCACCTTATTTATGTACGTCGACTGGGATAGTCCGATCATCCGTTTAAATCTATCCCTATAGATTTTTATCCCTAGGATAAAGGATGCTTCTCCCAAGTCTTTCATGGAAAACTGTTTTGACAACCATGTCCTAGTTGACTGCAACATCCCTACATCATTCCCAATGAGTAGGATGTCATCAACATATAGAACAACAAATGTAACTGCACTCCCACTAACCTTCTTATAAACACATGGTTCATCCGGATTCTTATGAAAATCAAACGTTTTGATCGTTTCATCAAACCGAATATTCCAACTCCTCGAAGCTTGTTTAAGTCCATAAATAGACCTTTGAAGTTTACAAACCATTTGTTCACTCCCATTGGATATGAAACCTTGCGGTTGTTTCATATAAATGTCTTCCTTAATATTTCCATTAAGAAAAGCAGTTTTCACATCCATTTGCCATATCTCGTAGTCATAATACGCAGCTATGGCTAGCAATATCCGAATAGATTTAAGCATTGCTA